AAGTCATGCATGCTCATGCTTCACACTTGTATACAAAGCTAATGCCAGGGTTCTGGTCACATCTGCATCTGCTGTCAGAACCACAAAACCAAGAGTTATAATGCAATGATAACACATTGGGTTTGCATGTTAAAGAGACTCATGTGTCTCTAAGGAGTTGAAAATGTATCCATAAGCCTGGGCCACTTATGCCACACACAGACAGATCCAGATGGGCTAGGGCTTCAAAAGTGCTCTGAGATGAAACGTTCTTTTTCCCTTCTTACCCAAAAGATGAACGCAAGGGATCACCAGAGCAACCAGAGTCCTCTAGGAGCCCACAAGGCTGAGGATATCCTCGAATCCCCAGGCTTAGATCCTATATTCTTGCCATGGGACTCTATAGCCCACCTTGGGAACCAGGGCTTTTGGAAATTCTGAAAGCAATGGAGGTCAGACCTCCTGGGGAGCAGCCCATGAACACCCACTCACTCATGGAGAGCAACAGGTTGCCATATCCAGCCTTGCTGGAGCCCATGTTGGATAGACCTGACCAACCGTACCAACAGCAGACCAACATGAAGGGGGCATTCCTGGCTCCCCACCTCTTGTCTGGGTTATAATTCAGCTAAATTTACAAATAAGAAATAACTGTCTGTTCTTTAGTCTATCCATCCATCTAACTAACACACCCATGCCTAAAGTCCCGGTCCTACTCTGTTCCAAAGCCATTCCTTCTCCTTACCCATCACGGCACTGAAATCCAGTGCTGGGATCACCCAATCTGTCAATAGGCTAAGAGTACTCTGAACTACTATCCATATGACTCAATTTGTCAGTAAAAACTGCCACCAGCGCTGTGCTTGCAGAAAAATGTCCATAAATGCATTATTGCAACTGGCAGATCGATGTCTATAATAAAAACAAATAGATTTAACAAGTGCCTGCTTTTACGAGCCATGCCATTGGTGGACTGTGCATTTGGTGTCACCCTCGGACTTCTGGGAATGGGCTCCAGAGCTGGGCTGGATGTAGGGCTGACTTCACAAGTGTTATGGGTAGGAAATTATTCTAACAAGAAAATTTTAGTAGCAGAGTGGACATACCAGGCATTTATCGCTCTCTCACTGTTCCTTTGGTGGTTATACAGGACAACAAATAAAAGCTGTAAGATGTTTCTATAGAATTTTTTAACTGGTCCTACTTGTACGTTGCAGTCCAAAATGAGTTCACTCCACTGGGAGTGCAGAAAACAAGTTTCTGCCAACAAAAAAAAAAAGAGTATCACCACTGTGTCTGTAGCCCCTGGGGACAGACTCTCTATTTGGTTACATCTCTGCGGCAGACTCTGAAGCAAGGTGCAGGAGGTTGGCTTACCCCAAGGATGCTGGGATGCCTGCTATCCTGGTAGACCCAGCCTATGAACCCTCCACATAGAAACCACATCTGTCAAGGCACTGATTCCTTCAAGGTCAAAGAAGGTCACCAAAGGACTTAAGTCTCCTTCTTAAGGCAAATCATTTTAACAGCTACAGGAAGGAATAAGTCACTCACTACACGCTACATATTCATTATGTGGTTTTCCCCAAACTACACAGCCCTCTTCAATAAGCCCTTTATTACTGCTAATTTTTGTCAGAAAGTGGACTGTTGCCACGGCCCAACAAGGGACACACATCACACTATATTCAGGCCACAATGCTGAGTCTCCAACATCCATCTATGCCCAGCACAGGCCTCCACAGCAATAAAATAAAATCCATCCTGTCAACCATGGCAGAGCCAGCCTCCTGCAAGGCTCAGACCTATTCCCTTCTAGACAAATCCTGTCATTTTCACTTCAGACTCAGAACTGGTGTAGGCCAGTTTGTTTATCAATGTCTGTGAACAGGCTGAGGAAGGCCACACTCTGGCCAGTGGAATGTTGGTCTACAGGTCTCTAATTTGAACATTCAGGTTTTATTTAAATAACAATCTGCAGTTAGACATCAATGCCTTCAGTAAGAACACTGGGGAAGCCAACCACTCACCAATACAGGGCCAGGCACAGCTGTGGTAGAAGCCAAGCCATGGTCCCACAGGAGTCTGAGATACTGTTGTGTGACACAGACACAACCAGAAGCCAAAGGCCTAGGGGAGGAGATACATGGGGGGGGGGGGGGCTTTATACCAGGGTGGGGCATTGGCAAGATCACAGTGACATGTGAAAAGACAGGACTATCCCCAACTTTCATGATACACACAATTTTTTGTACTTTCCCACGGCATTATAGACTCAGTAGACACCACACGTGCTCTGAATTTTGATCTTTTTCAGGGCTAATGGTCTGTGATCCTTCCAGCTAACAGAGACATAAGCAGGACCATCCAACCTTGCCCCATGAGCCACATGTGGCTGAGGACAGCTATGAATGTGGCCCAACCAAAAAAATTACAAACATTAAAATATTATAAGATTTTTGTGGGGTTTTTGTTTGTTTGTTTGTTTGTTTGTTTGTTTTGTAACTCAACTGCATGGTTTTCAAAGTGTGACCTTTATGGATAACAATGCCATGCATGTCAAAAGGCTGGATGGCATTTGAGTCTGTAGCAGGGTTCACTGTGCTATTAGGTAGGGCTATTGAGGAGGGGTCAGATATGTGAAATGCCTTTTCTTACAGGATTTTCAGCTTCCTCGGTGGGGGATGGGGCAGGGGGGAAGAATAGTCATATCCCAAGTAGAGGAGCACATAACTAGTCCCCTGATAAGGAGAAAAGGAAACCCAGACAACAGTTGCTCTTTCATTGCGTCCTATCAAAACCAGACTGAGCATCTAAGAAACGCAATGACAAGGAGCTGGTCTTAATTGTATGAGCACTGGATCCTAAATGTTTGTCCTCTGTAAAATAAGAACAACTGTGACAACTTAACTGTGGTGTTTGGTTGGTTGGGCTTGTTGTGTTTTGGAGACAGAGTTTCATCCTGGCTCAAAGTAGGCTAGAACAACTATGTAGCCCAAACTGGCCTTTAATTCCTGGCAATCCTCCTGAATCATCCCTCTCAACTGCTGGGATTACAAGCTTGAGCTACCGTGACACTCACCTTGTATTTATTTTTAAAATGCTGTGAAAGGTACAGTGTTTTGGTCTTCTGGGAAAGAAGGAAGGGAAGCAATTCTGGTGTCCTCCCTGCCCCTGGGTCCCTGCATCAAGGAAAAGGGGACTTTGACTATATTGGTTTTTCTTTTTTTGTTGTTGTTGTTCTTGTGGGTTTTTGTTTTGGTTTGGTTTGGTTTGGTTTGGTTTGGTTTTTTGTCAGCTTAACACAAGCGCAGGTCATCTAGAATGAGGGAACTGAGAAAACACCTCCATCAGATTGGCCTGTGGGCATATCTCGGCCATATTTTCTCCACTGGTTAACAGATAAGGAAAGTCCAAGCCCACAGTGGGTGCCCTGGGCAGATGTTCCTGAGGTATACAAGAAAGAAGGCTGAGAAAGTCATGAAAAGCAAGCCAATAAACAACATTCCTCCATGGTCTTTGCTTCAGTTCCTGCCTCCAGGTTCCTGCCCTTCTGGAGTCCCTGCCCTGACTTCCCTTCCTGGTAGACTGTCATCAGGACATGTAAACCAAATAAACCCTTCCCTCTGTAGTCATGGTGTTTTATCAAAGCAACAGAAAACTAACTTAAGTCAATAACATGCCTATGAAGGAGAGGGAGTAGACATGAGCCCAGATGGGGCCCACTGATCTAGAACAAGACCCAGAGACTGGTGCCTTTTGCTCTCCACAGAAAGAAGGCTGCTGTGTAAGGCATTGCTGCCTTGCCAGTACACGGGGGGTTCTGCTTCTTAAACCCTGGTTAAGAGTGGAAACCTCTTCAAATCCATGCCACAAATTAGTCAAACCCATACATTGTGATGGATTTTCCCCCCATAGAAAAGTACCTTTAGCATAAACCCAGAGTCCATGTTGCTTGGTTCCTTCACGCCTCAGAAGGTAGATCTATTTCACTGCCAAATTCAAAGTCAAGACCCAGAGAGCAAGTGCCCAAGAAGGGACGGAGCCCTCGGAAGGCCATTAGGGCAGGACTGTTCTGCCAAGCCACCTTCAGGCCTGGCAGGTGCTCAGATAACATGCCCAAGCTTACAGGACACTGACCACAGCCAGGCTTCTCACACCCCCAGAAACAGCACCCTAAGACTTTACATCACAAAGTGATGCAGCCATTAAGAGACGCGTGAAGTTAACAAAATCACACGGGATCACCTGTCAGGGAGAGAGATGAAGAGCAGGTCCATCTAACAGGGCCTCTGCAGGTTGTAGTACACCCTTCTCACAAACTGTGTCTGAGGATGGTCCAGCCAAGCACAATTTGCACAGAGACACCATTCTAACCTTGCTTCTTAGAACACACAGCTGCCTGAATGAGGCAGCTAGGAGTAAAACGCACAGAACAACTACCTGGACCCACTGGGTGAAGTACAACCCTGGAGTGGCTGTACCGTCACTGACTTGGGAAGTGGTTGGCTGTCTAACCCCATCTGTTAACTCAAATGCTTAAGGATGAGGTTTTAATCAGATGTGCCTAACACCAGCCAGGATGTTGCAGGACCCTGGGACTTGGTTATTTTCTCCAAGTCTCAAGAAAGAAAGAGGCATGAGAAGCATGGACCTGCTGCAAGAGGAGCTGACCAGGCGCTTCTGGAAGCTTCCTGAAAGGAAGGTATGTGGGCCCCTATACCCTGGTCAGCAGTGAAGGTAAAGAGGATGGTCAGAGGACCTGCAGGGGTTCAGAAGAAGCTTGAAAAGTGTTGGGCATCAGCAGGTGTGGCAGGAGACATCCACGGTCACCAGGCAGATTGGCCCAAGCACTCCAAGTCCAGGGAAAGTAGGGCATACTCAGCCTAGTCTGTACAGGAGGGGTAGAGGTCCTGGAGAAAGGAAGGAGCCCTTAGAACAACTCAGAGCCGTGACTGTGTCCCTGGGCTCCAGACTCCGCTCTTTCCAGGGAGGGGCCCACACTGTGCCCCAAAACTCACCAGCTTGAAAACTGTGCAGACACTCAACAACTTGGAATCCTGCCCGTGGCCTGTACGCCTGAGCTGAGAAGATTGGGCCTGCTGAGCACGCACGGGCTAGGGGCGGGGCCTGATGCGCGGGGCGGGGTCTGGTGTGCGCGGGGCGGAGTCAAGTTACAGATGGTGCCGAGGGCCGTGGATGTGCAGGCAAGCCTTGAACTCGGGGGCGTGGCCGGGAGCTACCGGAAGAGGGGCGGGGAGTGCAGGGCGGGCTCTCTGTAGGCAGAGCATGCCCAGTGGGTGACGCCGGGCTGCAAGTCCGTGCTTCCTCTGTGGATTCCTGTTCCCAGGTCAGTCCTCTTCCCCCAGACCTGAAACCGGTTCTTCAGCTCATCCTAGAATTCACGCCACATCAATCCACTGCCCCGTCTCACACGTTGAGTCCCGGTTTACCCGCTGAGACACTAGCCAGGGGTGGTGGAAGCTTTAAGCCCGCTATGAATCCGACCTGCAGGTGGGCCAGGGCTGTCTTTCTGGTTCTTCTTCCAGGCACTTGCAGCCAGAATGGCTCAGTTGCTGTTCAGTTATTGCAGTGACAGGAGTTGAACTTTACCCACCGGGAAAGCCTTGCTGAAATTCTCCCTCTCTACCTCAGAATGTGGCCTTGAAGTGACACATGAAGTTACAAGTTAGGAGGGCCTAATCTGATAGGAGTGTTGTCCCTGTGAGCAGAAAGCTGGATGCCAGATACACCTGTGGCCACCAGTTGCTGCAGAGGAGGTGAGGACTACCAGCCCCCTGGACTGTAAACCAATCTCCATTATTATTTCAAGCCACCCAGTTGGTGGTACTTGGTTGGAGCCCCTCTGTTATGGCTACTCTCAACAGCTTGACTGGATTTGTAATTACCTAGGAGACACACCTCTGAGCATGGCTGGGCCAATTTCCAGAGGGTGAACCGAGGACCAGACCCTCTCTGAATGTGGGTAGTGCGAAGTCCAAGAACTGAGGTCTCAAATGGAATGCAAATGGAACAGAGGAGAAGATAAATGGAGCACCAGCATTCAACTGTCTCTGCATCCTGGTCAGCTGCTTCTGCTGCCATGCCTCTCCAGATGGAGAGTATTTCTCTGAAATCAGAGAGCCCCTCCCAGCCCTTCCTCCCTCGACTTGCTTGCTTTCAGGTATTTGGTTACAGCAATGAGCAGAGTGACCAACACACCTCCTCAGCACTGTGCTCAGACAGACACAGGTATTTATGCTCAGGGACGGGAGACCTGAAACAGTTTATCCTGTGTCCTGCTCTTCTTTCTTGGTTCCCCCAAGACACTATAGGAAGCTCACACTTCTTGGGTCCTCACATTCATTATCTGTATGGTAATTTCATAAGAATCAATGCTATGCACACGTAGACCATACTTGCATATTAGATATGCTCCCAGGCTAACAGCAGACTACTGAGTATGTATACTCTTTCCCATATAGCATGATGCTACTGTGGCCTAATTAAAACTGGGATCCTAATGAAACTGAAAATGAGAAACATTAAGATTAAATCACAGTTCCTGTTGAGACCCCCCCACCCAAAAAAACAAAAACAAAAACACACACACACTCTGAAGCAAAAACTATCTGAGTTCCAGAACTGGAGAGATGGCTCAGAAGTTAAGAACAATGGCTTAGGCAAGAGTTCCAGGGTAGGGATTGGGACACCAACCCAGCCACAAAACCTTCAACCTATTGTCCTGCCTACAAGATGTGCTAGGATGAAGGTGGTGCAGAAGTTACAGGCGTAGCCAGCCAATGATTGAGACCTGTGCCATGAGAGGGAAACCATCCCTGATGCTGCCTGGAGGGTCAGGACCCAGAGACTGGATAGCCTAGAGACCCATAGTAGAACCAAACAGAACTGGCAATAAAAATAAAAGACAATGACATAGTCTCTAATGATATTCTGCTATAGTCGTAGAAGGGAGCCTAGCATAATCATCAGCAGAGAAGCTTCATCCAGCAAATTATAGAAACAGATACAGAGACCCACAGACAAACATTAGGCAGAGCTTAGGAAATCCTACAGTAGAAGGCAAGGAAGGATTGTAGGAACCAGAGGGGTCTAGGACACCAAAAACAAGCAAACACAAAACCACAAAACCAACTAATCTGGGCTCATAGGGGCTCAATCAGGGACCCTGCATGGGTCTGGCCTAAGACCTCTGCATGTATGATATGGTTGCATACCTTGGTCTTCTTGTGGGATTCCTAACAGTGGAAACAGAGGCTGTCTCTGATTCTTTTGACTGCTTTTGGGACCCTTTTTCTCCCACTGGGTTGTCCTGTCCAGCCTTACTTATGAGGGATGGTGCCTCGTCTTACTGCAGCTTGATATGCCATGTTTGATTCATATCCATGGACGCCTGCCCATTTCTGAAGAGAAATGGAGAAGTGGATGGGGGTATTGGAGGTGGGAGGAGGACTGGGAAATTTCAGTTGGGATGTAATATATGAGACTAGAATAAAAAATATCTAGAATAAAAGATTAATATTAAGACAAAATTATTCTCCACAACTGATGTACAAAGGTGCGCTAATCTCCTTAAGAAAATAATAGATTGATTTTCTTTTAGGATAAAAATCCATGTGTCTTAAACTAAAGTCCTACAAGAAAGCATTGTTTGCAATTTTTCTGAAAAATAGCAACAATAAACAGCACAAACAAAAAAAGAAAACAAACAAAAACACTGGCTACTCTTCCAGGGGTCCTGGGTTCAATTCCCAGCACCCACATAACATCTCACAGCTGCTGTAACCCCAGTCCCAGGGGATCCAATGCCTCCTTTAAGCTTCTGTAGGTACCAGGCACACACAGGATACACAAGCATATGCAGACAAAACACCCATATACATAAATTAACAAGGAAATAAAAATATCTGGATTACATCTTAATATGATTTTCTGAGTATGGCCAGTCTTTTCATTGCTGTAACAAGTATCTGAGGAAAACAAAAGAAGAAACTACTGTTTCTGGCTCACAGCTTCAGTCAGCTCTAGGCTGGTCTTATTGTTTCTAGGCTGTGATGAGGCCAGAGGATGTTACACGGTAGGAGCCAACGGCTCACCTCAGATAGGGTGCTGTGCTTACCTCTAAACCTCAAGACTCCAGTCTAGTTCCCAGGACCCACACAGAGGAGGGAGAAAGCAGATTGTCCTCTGACCTCCACACATGTGGAGGTCAGACACACACACACAATTCACATGAGAGCACACACATTCACACACGCACACAAAAGATTAAATGAAAAAAATATGAATCTGTCAAGAGATTACTCCATCGATTAGTCCAGAGCTCTCAGAATCCAATCACTGCTCAAAGGCCCATCAGCTGACAAACTACACCCAGCCTGTGGGGACATTTCAGATTCAAACCATATCTGAGAGCTGGAGTCGGGGAAGAAGATGGAAATGAAGGCTGATACTGACATCTGCACCTCTGCCCTTTGTGTTGCAGGATGGAACAGTCTCTATAATAGCCATGGCCATTGAAGTGGATTATATAGGACTGAAAAGGGTGAGCAAGGGAGAGTGAGGACAGTGTTCTCACACAGAGCATGTCGTAAACCAGGCATGTAACTCTTTTAGCAGAACTCAGTGCTCCTTGCTGGGAAGGAGGTTAAGAACTGTTCAGGATCGGGAACTGAGTAGCAAGCAGAAGGTACTGTTCTCTGACCAAGGACTGGGCCTGTGGAAGGAAAGGATCCTAGTATGACTTCCTGGGTTCTTCCATGAACCAAAGTACCAATCTTCCTGTCCTGGCTGCAGCGATTACTTCTCCTTTGTGAAGTCATAAAAATAAATATTTTTTTAAAAATTTTCAACCAAGGGTCCCTGGGCTTCTTTCCTTTATCCTTTTACCCAGGTGTCCTCACCAACTGCTGTACCTATCACTAAAAGAACATAGATAGCCTGGTGGGAGGAACAGTGAGGAAGACAAGCTAGATAAGGAAATCTGGGAGCAGGTTTCCTGTCCTGCCTCTCACAGAGCCACCCAGGACTTCTCCGTAGGATGTATTAGCCTGGATGAATGAGACGTCTTTGGGGTTTTTCCATCTTCAGGTTAACAGATAATCTCTTGTTCTTCTCTGGGCCCAAATCCCCATAAGTTTGGGGTTTGTTTGTTTGTTTGTTTGTTTGTTTTTGTTTGCTTGTTTTATAGAAGACTTGAGAAAACCATAAGAAGTTGTGTTCCAGTCTAGCCTGAGTTCTGACTCCCTGGGTTTTCTTTAACATCAGCTAGCTTTCCTGTGGGCACTGGGAACCATGTCCATTTGCATAGTTCCTCTAAGCATCCAAATGGATACCTTTCAGGTTAAGCAAATGAACTTGACATGGTGGGTGATTGCTTCTAATGATTTGTAACCCACGAAATTTGTTTAATAAGCCTTTCTTCCCAAGCTATTCTGTGACATTAGAGACCATTTACAACAAAGCTGTCTTTAGTAGTCAAACTTAATCCTTACTACCCTGCCTTTGGGAAATGAAGGGATTTTATAACGATCACATAAAACCTTATGTGATTTGAAAGCCCCGAACTCTGGACAAGCGTGCAGTGGTCGTGTAAAGAGAAACACGGTAAGAGCTCCTCACTTGAAGTGTTTTACATGCGGGCTGCTTTTACAAAAGCATCTCAGTGGTGAGCTCTCGATTAATACAATCGATTTTCTCTGTCTTGGTGTTCTTGGAGTCAGAGACTCTGGCCGGGGTGAAGCCTGGAGCCCAGAGATACTAGACTAGGGAGAAGCCTGAAATGGAGACAGGATCATTAGGCTCAAAAGGAGTGCCATCTGCCTCTGGCTACACCCTTGTCCCATGTTGGTTCCTGTTGGCTCTTGTCACAGCTGCAGGTATCCAGATATCACTGTAGCAAGAACGTAGACAGATACAACTCAGGGTAAGAGGATGGGCTGTTTCGCCCATGCTGTCCTACAGAGAGGCAAAAGTTCTTCGCCAGAGCCCATGAGAACTTCTATTGCCATCTGGAAGCCCTTCAGCCTTAGGTTGGGTTGGAAAGTACAAGAAGAGAGATCTGCCTATGTGTAAAGGAGGAAGACCAAAGACCCCTTCAAGAGTGTGCTCCTTCAGTGAGTGGCCTGGTTAGTGCAGGTCTGAGGTACACTTAAGGAGACATGTTTCAGTTCTGTGGAGCTCATAGCTGAGTGGTGCATGAACAAGGAAGTATGTGGGTTTCATGTGGAACAGCAGGCATCTCCCTGAAAACATGAGTGTGTGCACATGGGATTATCTTTATTGGCACGGCTCCTCCTCTAAGCTCTTCTTCCAGCCACTGTGTGCTAAGCTCTGTGCAGTGGGTGTGTTCCCCACCATATCTCCAAACCAAAATAGCTGCTAGACTCGGAGAACTGATAGAAGAAAAGGAACCCAAGTAAGCAGATGTACACACACTAACAGAGAATCCCTGTTAATTGTGGAATTTGGATCTAGTTGCCTAGTAACTGTCAGACGGAAGTCATCCCAAACCTCATATTGCTCTTCTTCTAAAGCATGCCAACTGTGGAGCAATGAACATCCAGGGATGTGCACCTGCTATGTAAAGCCCCAAATGAAAGACAATTCTTTGGAGATATATATTGGATAGACCTATTTACAGAATGACTTCTGCCGGTGGAAATATTTGGGGAGAAGTTTTTCTATCCTATGTTTGGCTATTTTAGTGTCAAACACTCAGAAAAGGGAATTTTGTTAGATTCTACAGCCCTTTTGAAACTGGCTCCTACACTCATTACAAAGTGTTTTTGATCCATTTTCGGGAAGGGCTGTGTTTCTAACACATTGTTGGCAGTTTGGGCAGTGTCTTTTAAATAGTGTGAAATGCTAGGGGTGCGCACCTGGGTGCCAAGAGGAAGTAGGTTTCCCCTCTCGACCCCCACCCTCTGTCTTCTGGGGACAGGCCGCACCTGTTATTTTGTGACTTGGAAATTAAAGCAGGAAGCATGGGGATTTGGATGCTGGGATTGTGACTTTCCATCATCCATTTCTGACTGGGGATGAGAAATGAGAATAAGGTAGAACCAACTGCTGTGCCAAGGGCGCTGCTGCAGCCACCAAAATAGGAACAGCAGAGGTGGTTGTAGCCCCTTTGAGATGTAGGTTTTTAGCCTAGCCCTGGTGCATTTGGGTCTTTGGTGCAGAATAACATGAGGTCCAGGTTGGGGACACTATGGCAGAATTGGGGAGCATGATTCAGGCAGCTGTCCCTCTGCTGTCTGTGAGCAGGAGAGATAAACCCTATTCCATGTTGAGTCAAGAATGGCAGGTGGGGTCCAAAAACAGTCCCTTTGTCTATCTAAGTGACAGCCCCTGGAAACATAGCCTTCATTGTCCAAGAGTTATATGGTTTGAGGGCACCCACACCATGAAGTTAACTATAGGGAGTTCTTTTTGATGCAAGAAAAGGCAGCCCCAGAACTTTGATTAGAAAATGAACAAAGATAGCTCTTTATGGGAGGTGAAGGACCCAGACCAGGGCAGCTCTGGTTCTCAACCTATATTCTGTCAGCCTTCCCCTTTCCTTCCACAGCTCTAAGCTGGATTTCTCCATCCATATCCCAGGATTCCATCCTTTGGGTTCATACCCCTACCTCTTGTTGGCTCATCACGGATGGTCATGGCAAACACCACAGAGGTAGGAACACAAGGCACTTCTAACCATTAGGTGACCAACAGCAAAGGTCTGATAAGGAAAACAGGAAGTGTGATTGGGAGAGGTTCTGCATGAGTAGGCTGGCACCTCTGAGCTGTGTGCTCCCACAGTGTGTATTTCCTGAGTACCTTGTGCTCAGCACCTCAGACTCACACGCCATCCTATCAGTCTTGATAGAAGTTGATCCACCAGTGAGTCAGACCAAAGCAGGTGGTTGAGACTGAGGGGTGCTTTGCTTCTTAACATCCTCCCAAGGCAATGCATCAGAATGTAGACAGATGTAACTGTCATGGGCTTTCTGTGATCTGTTGACAGGGGACCTATCACAGGCTGGACAATACTCACTAGCTGTTCTAATCACAAATGCCAATCAAACCACTGACAAATGTACGCTTTGCCTCTTGTAAATTAATCTCAATAAGCATATTTATTGAACATTCATTAAATTAGTAAGGAATTTGAAATATGGAATTCACAGAAATCATGAATAGTTGGAAATTACCAATGACTTATTGAGTGTTGATCATGCTTTGTGTTCAAGGTCTGCTGGAATCCTCACAACTCTATAAAGAGGAGCATTATCAAAGTGCTAAGAATGAAAAGGCAGAGTGGTCCAGTGACTGGTTCAAGATCACCCAGATGACATCCAACTCACTGCCTTTTGCTGTGTAGGACCTACAGATAAGCGAGAATTAACATTTACCGACTCTCACCAGACACAAATTCTACTTTATTTGTATGTTTAAATATTTTATCAGCCAGCAGTCACCCAGGAGAGTTTTTGCTTGAATGGCTATACCACTATTATAAAGATTCCTATTTCTACTGGCACAAAGCAAGCACCACGTGATTCTGGAGCTTCTACCTGTCTGTCTGCTTATCTATCTATCTGTCTGTCTCTCTGTCTATCCATCCATCCATCTATCATCTATCCATTTTCACCTGCCATTTATCTATATATCCATCATTCATCTACCATCTAATTACGTACATCTATCATATATCCATCTGCCAGCTATACACCTATATATCAGTTATCCATAGATCTGTCATCCATCTATCCATCTACCATCTATTATCTATTATACATCCACCTACCATCTATCTCCCCATTTATCTATCTATTTACCTATCCAATTATTATTCATTTGCATCTATCAATCATTCATTCATATATTCATCTATCCTTCCATTCATGTATCTACTCATACACTGTTATTATCTCTTTATCTCATCTGTATATTAACCATCCATATATCTATCCATTTATCATCTGTTTATTTATTTTGATTCATCCAGCTGTTTTGTTGTTGAGGTAGAACCCAAGACCACACACATGATAAAAATTCCCTTTACTATTAAGACATATCCACAGCCACTGAATGTCTTTGCAGGGAGGGAACCCCATAGGAAATAGACTAGGAATTCTACTCGGCATTCTGGGTTCTATTTCTTGTCATTTGTAACCCAAATTTTCAAATAGTGCAAGATTTCCTGTTTACAGACACTGTGCTTTGTGTGTCTTTGTATGATTATCTTTTGAAATCTCTCAAATTTGAGAGTTGAGGGTGATAATAGCCATTTTACAGGTTGGCAAAGTGAGAATGAAGGTGTCAAAGCTACCCAGCTTGCAAATAACAAAACCAGAACTTACAAGTTGTTGATCCCCAAACATCAATATTCCTGAGAATAGTCTCAGTTCCTAAAAATATAGGTTCAGGTACAGTGAAGGAAAGGAAATAAAAAAAGAGGGAGGGAGGGAAGAAGGGAAGGAGGGAGGGAGGAAGTAGATGGAGAAAAGGAGAGCAGGGAAAGGGGTATGAGAAGGAAAGAAAAAGGAAGGAAGCAAGGAAGGAAGGAAGGAAGGAAGGAAAGGAAGGAAGGAAGGAAGGAAGGAAGGAAGGAAGGAAGGAAGGAAGGAAGGAAGGAAGGAAAGGGAAAAGAAAAAAGAAAAGAAAGGAAGGAAGGAAAAAGTCTATGTTAACATTTTTGAATTGAAGAATTTAAAATCTTTTGGTGGCAAGCTACAACGGTGTATTGCTAAGGCTTAGGAATTTTACCCTGCTATTTGTTCTTCAAATAAAAGAATCAGAG